CCACGATGGCGCCACACACAAAGATGCCGAGAGGGTGAACGACGAAGACTCCGAGCGTCCAGAGGTCCACATCCAGCATCGCCGCCGTGACCGCGCCACCACCACAGAGGAACATGAAGTCTGTGATGTCCTCGATGTGCCAACACACGACGCCCCAGGCGTGGAAAGGCAAAGCGACAGCATGCCGCGCCAGCGTGATGAGCCCGAGGAAGGCCGCCGCAAGCTCTTCGAAAAGGTGCGTGCCGAGCGTCGCAACCATGCTCACGCCCGACATGCAGCACAGGACGAGGCGCAGGCTGTACCGCTGCAGCGCGATGCCCACCTCAACGGCCACGCCGAGGGCACCAGTAGAGCTGAGCCGCACGGGAGGCGCCAGATGGACAACGCCCGACACCTCGCCCACGAGCTAGCCGAAGAAGGACAGCGGCGGCGCCCCAAGCCCATGATGCGGCCACCCGCACGCACGGCCGCACCCATGAGCACGACAGCCGCCGTCGACTGCCACGGCCGAGGCGCCACGACGCCAAGCGCGCGGCAGCAGGCCCAGACGCTGCCTCGGTCCGGCAGCATCCCGACACGCGGCCCCTGCGCGTGCGTGCCCCCCGACGGCCACGGCGGTCCCAGCGCCCCCGCCGGCGCCGGCGGCACGGCCGCCGCGGGAAAGGCGCCCCGCTCCGACGGACCGCCCCGTGCGCGGCCTGCTCGAAGCCCGCCTTCGCCCAGACCTCCGCGACGGGCGGCGCCACGCGGCGCCTCGCTAGCAGTGTTCGCAGAGCCAGTACATGCCGCTGAGCATGGCAGATCGCCACGCGCCGCGCGCGCACGGCGAAGCGCGGCAGCGGCAGGCAACGTCGCGCTCGGCGGCGCGGCGCGGCGAGGTGATGGGGGGCAGCGGGTGGCGGCACGATCACGAAGCACACACGAGCCCGCCCCTTGAGCCAAAATGGATACGGACGATGATGATCATGATGATGCTGATGATGATGATGATGAGGAGGAGGAGGAGGAGGAGGATCAGGATGAAGATGATGCTGATGATCTGATGATGGTGATGATAGTGATGATGGTGAAGGTGATGCTGATGCTGGTGATAGTGATGGTGGTGATGATGCTGATGCTGGGGATGGTGAAGATTGATGATGGTGGTAGTGAAGGCAGTGATGGTTATGATGGTGACGTTGATGATTGTGATGCTGATGATGCGGATGATGATGGTGATGCTGATGAGTGTGATGATGATTATGATGGTTGTGATGGTGCTGATGCTGATGATGACGCTGGTGAGGGTGGTGATGATGATGATGCTGGTGCAGCTGGTGAGTGTGATGACGATGTTGAACGAGATGATCACGATGATGCTGATGATGATGTGGATGATGATGATGATGCCGATGCTGACGATGATGGTGATGTTGCTGATGATGACGATGATGATGATG